GTGTCTCATTGTCCAAGTGGTCTTCTCGAGGAATATGGGAGGCTGTGAGAGGCATCGAAACTTGACCCTGTTGTCGGTTGCTGTATCCACCAAGGCGTCGAAGGTTGTAGGTCGCGCAGCAGAAGAATTTGTCGCCGCCGTCTCCGCAACGAATCGCACGTGGTCGCCGACTGCGAGCCTGGCCAGCCTGGGAGCATCAATGCGACGCAGGCTGGTCACAACCGAGACCCTTTCGCCGCTTGCTGCCCCTGGTTTCAACGTCCATGACCCCGGTGTAGCTTCATCACTGTCGCTAGCCTCGGCGCAATGATCGATCACAGCCCCGAACATATTCCGCAAGAAATATGCAACAACATGCTGATCAAGGTCCGGAATGGCATTGGCGAATGCGTCTCCGCATTCCATCAGGATCGTCAGCAGCAAATCCGGACTTGCAATTGCTACAGAGGCAAGTTCTAACAGTTCGCGGACCGCGGACAGAGTTAGAGAGATGTCTTCTTTGAGAATGGCGCACATATGCCTCACTACCAGCTCTCCCACCCTGTTTGCGCAAAGTACAAGAGCACGCAGAATAGCAAATCCCTCCTGCCGGAGTGCATTCGAATAGGGGGCCGGCAGCGAAGACCACGGACATAGGCGCGCGAAGTGTATTGCCATCACAGGCTTGAAGTGGAGAAATTCAACGAGGCGTCGAATGGCCTCAGGAGCGCACCGCAGTGTGGTTGTTTGGTCCGTTGTTTCAGGCTTGATCAGCGTTTGGCCATAAATCTCTGACACGAGGTCAACGAGGTCATTCTTCCAGCTCAGCTTGAGCAGGTCTACGAGTTGAGGATCCGTTGCTTCCGAAAGGAGGGTGTAGTTCTTGTGCTGCACCACCTGGACGACAAAGTCGCTGTAAAGATTCCAGTCGATGTCAATGAGAGTTGGGAGGCTGTATGGCGGCTTCTCGTCAGGAAAATTAGGGAGAACCTCGAGAGTATCGACGCTCTCGAGCAAGAGATCCAGATCCCGCAATGCCCTAACGTCTTTGTTGCTGATGACATAGAGTTCCTACGATATTTAGCCAACACAGCCTCTCAATGTGTGGTCCAAATCTTCGCGACTTACCGCCTCAGTCACCGGCTCTCCCCGCGTCCGCCCAATGTGAGTAGCAAGTTGAGCACTGAATTTTGCCAGAGCTATACTTACCCTCCAGTCGCAATTGATCCCTTGGTCGATTGTCTCCTGGCGGGCACGAGCCCGGTTGCTTCTGCCTTGTACGCGTCCGTAGGCGCTGTCATCATTGGGCGACCTGTCCAAGAAAACAAAGGTGTTGCTGCGATGATTCTCATACAGTTGCATCGTGTTTTCGTCGTAGTAGAATCTATAATTCTTTTTGGTCGGAACGACTCGTCGATGTGCGGCTCTGTCCTTCTGGGAATGCGGGAACGCAAACAGTCTCACGGTCTCGTGAACGATGGCGTCTTCTTCTTTCTCGATCGGCCGTGGAAAGTAGACTGCGATGCTCAGCCGTTCGCCCAAGCGGAGGATAAGGAGCTTCTTCGCGAACTGCGGGAACGTCTGGTTGATCGTTGCCATGAGCCTTCGCAGTGGATCGGATCGAGAATCGAAGACGCATTTCCAATGTAGAGAATGCCGGTCCAGTCCAAAGGCTTGCAGGTCTTCACGCGAGAGAACGTTTGACTGGAGGAGTCCATTTTTGAAGTGGGCCGGATACTTGGGTGAAGGAGGCAGTTCGGTCAACATCCACGCCTGCTCATCGGGAGTAAGTTGAGAGGCGTCGAAATAGGCCCAAAAATCTTCAAAGGGAACCTTGTTTCTCCGGCACCAGCTTACGGTCACCTTAGCCAGTTCGAAATCCGAAAAAGGAGTCGGGTTGCTAAGGATAAACTCCAGAGTATCTCGATCTACAGAGCTCATGGTCTCAATATTATGCCCCAATGTCTGCCGTTCTGCGATGCTGGGTGGCGTTTCTATTTTCTGTACTGAGCTGCAATGTTCCTTTGCTGCCTCATGCAGGATGTCTAGGATGAACGGCTTTGTGTTGCATGAAGCGTCAGGGGGGTCGAGGAGCGGGTCAGGTATCTTGATACGATTGCCATCGACGCACTGTGAGAACAGTCGATTGAGCTCCTGACACTGGCTGCAGCGCGGACCCTGAGCTCGCGCCCATCCGAGGTACACCTTCTTGATACGTCCAAGGGACATGTTGTTGTAGCCAGCAAAGTATGCGATCAGATCATCCACGACGATAGGAGAGAATCTAATTGCTTCCTTCAGTCCTGGGTACTCAGCCGGTTCTGAGATAGCCTGGGGAATCAGGTCAGAGTCCCAGCACACAAAGACTGCGTTAAGTCAGCAAAGATCAACCCTTATTGCTTCAACTCACATGTGTCGCCATCCAAGTCGCCGCCAGACATAAGGTCAGCCGTCGGCCGCTTTCCATTCGTGGAGAAGACCACACAATCTGTGAGGTGGCTGAGTTCCGGCCGCTTGACGGCTTTGAGCTTGCGGAGGTCCCCGGGATGCAGACACGGATTTCTCGACACCAGGACATCAACTCCAGTGATGGTCAGAGGGGCCCCAAACTCCTCCAGTGTTACACGCAGAAAACACTCGTCTGGTTTGAGCAGGCCATAAGGATCGCATACCCCGAACAATAGTCGAGACCGGGGTATTAGAACTCGGGTTCTTTGTTCTTGGTGTTTGTTTAGCATCCTGCCGTATTCTTGGACAACCGTCTTCCGAACAGTCCATTCGACCTTTTCCATACCCTCGATCAGGAGTTTCTCAGCCTCGGCGGCCATGCCCAGAGAGCTCAACAGGCGAAAGGCGCATACGGGGTCCGTTCTCGACCGGTCGAGAAACCCGAAATATTCCTTCTGTTTCTTGGAGAAGACAGCTGCGTCAATGCCGAGGGAATTGAGCAGGAGCATAATCTCATCATTTAGATATCCGTATGTGTAGGGCTTTGGGTGTTAGTAACCCGATGTTTCACATCCGAGGGTGTCTGTACCTTTGAGTATGCCACGACGGCGAAGCTCATGTCATCTGTTCCGCTGAACTTCTTCATCGACTTCCGCAATTTGAGCCAGAGACCCTTCTCCATCCGAGGCTCAACGCATACCACCCCTTTATAGCCTCGATATCGAATCTGGAGCACTGAGGGATAATACGGCCGATTCCGAAATATTATGGGCTTCTTGGTGGCCAGTAGACAGACAAAATCTTCTGAAATGAGACCACATCCATCGGTGAAGACGAATCCATTTCTTTCAATGTCTTCTATATCTCGACATCTGGTGTTTGGGACATCTCGTACGATGTCAGCAGTCGAGAATAAGAGGCCGATCCGCTTTGCCTTTTTGGTAACCGTCTTGATTTTGCTGAAGTCTCCCATAGCTTCAACCTTTTTGGCTACTTCCTGCTTTGAGCCGGCTAGGAGGTAGCAGGATCGAGACTTCAGTTGACTGTTGCTGTGTCCATAGAATGAATACCGCACATCGTTAATCACGACGCCAGAGGAGAGAAAACGACAAACATAGTCCACAGCCTGTTTGTGATCTGTTGGTAAAGATCCATTTTGGGTGTCACGGACCGGTCCAAAGTCCGAGACGCTGATCTGCACAAGATCTTCCAAGCGGCGTTCTCGAGTGGCCCGATTCAAAGAGATGGGAGTCCAATGCAGGTATATGCCCTGCACCAAGGATGTACAGAACAGTTGGATTGCTTTGATGCATCCAGCCTGACGACATCTCTCTGATCCTGGCAAGTCGGCGATGTCGTATCGCCACTCCGAGTCCGAAATGGCGATAGTTTTCTGTAGCGTATACTTGCTTCTTTCCATGACTGAAATGAAGGATACGGCACATCGTCAGTACGGAGGAGCGATTTGAGGGAGCTGAGGTCGACAAAAGAAGGCTGGCACGTGATGGTATGCAGCCACCAGCTGTCCTGATGGTTGCATATGCGCTTGCAGGGGCCCCGGTTGCCAAATCATCCAAGGCCTTCCGAAGGTGGGATTGTTTGTGTAACTCCATTTTCCTTCGATCGCAACTGGTCTGTGTCTGAGAAACCTGGTCGTCCATGGAGGACACGCCTTCGATATACATCATTGGGGCCCAGTGCACTGGCAAGACCACTTTGGTTGAAGCTGTCTCTCAGCATATACGAAGAGAACAAACCTACCTTTCCTTTGCTATCATTAAGGAGATAGCCCGCGGCATCTTGGTGGTAGCAGATGTGAACAGAGACGATATTCGAGTCGGGTCAGAGAAAGCGATGGATTTCCAGAGACGTGTGCTCGAGACGCAGCTGGATGAGGAACAAAAACTCCAAAGTCAAGGATTCATCATCTCCGATCGATCTGGCATTGACCCTATCGCTTATGCTAAACTATACGGTCCACCGCGAACCACAAAAGAAATGCTTGGGACGTCTGCCTGGGCGGCGTTGAGGAAGAGAATGCGTCAAGGCGTCGTCATACTTTGCGAACCTGTTCCGCGCTGGCTGTTTGATGATGGCGTGAGGCTGATGCCGAAAGACACAAGAGAGTGGTTTGAGCTACACCAAGCCTTCATCGACCTGCTGCAGCTGAGCGATATCGCGTTCGAGTTGTTGCCTGCAACATTCAACTCGACTGAAGAGAGAGTAGGTTTTGTGCTTGAGAAATGGGGCAATCGGATGAGGCATACCGCCAGTTTGAGATCCTCATGCCAGCGACTGTGGGACTTGGCATTAGCGACAACCGCCTCGCTAGTTTAGGCTGATGAAACTTGTCAGAGAAGATGTCAAATCAATAAAAGCGGCTGAAGCATACAAAAAAAGATTACAGAGATCTGGCAGTGGGATCCTTTACGGTCACCGCGGGAAGTGCGAATAAACTACTTGACTGAGAAGAGGAAAGTACAAAAGTTAACAGTGGGCCCCTGCAGCCCCCTTTATCCTTTCTAGTCTGAACATGTCTACAACCCTTCCGCCCGTCCCCCTGTCATTCCCATTCAATGCCCTGCAGATGTAGCACAGACCCAACCGGATGGCGACGTCTTGACAGTTGAGGTGATTCTGGCATGCTGTTAGCTAGACACTCCAAGAAGAATCGAAGTCCACTATACATACGTTGCCCATATTGTGGAGGTGGTCCAAACTGTCTGATATGTACGAGTTGTACGAGTGCGGGTGGGCGTGGGTGCTGTTACTGTGATTGTTGTCTTTGCCTTTCCAGAATACGCCGTCACGGGCTGCGGTGTGCTGGTGCTCAGACTTAGTGACTGTCGCTAGACTCCTATTGGTTTAACTTACACAGTGGTTGTCGTTGTTGCGTTTTCAGTATCAATTTCAGTACTTGTCGGGGCTGTAACTGTAGTGTATGAAGAAATAGCATCGGCAGTATCGACAACAGTTGTGGTACATTGATCTAAGGAAGCGGTCAGCACGGTCGTTGCTTGCACAAATTGGCGTTGCAATGTACCTGGGCCACTATCGACTGGCGTGTCATCTCTCCGTTCATTCGCTCGCCTACGCCCGTCTTGGCCGGGTCGCGCGAATTGACGCATCCATGGGAGGATCGTGATTGATGCGTTGGCTGCAGCAAGTGTAGCCTTCGTGGGCCGAATGGTACACGTGGGGTCTTTCGCCGGCGGCTGTGTTCTGCATGACGTCGTGACAGTAGTGGTCAAGACTGTTTTGGAAAATACTTTGCTGGTACGTGTTCGTGTAATGATCGACGTCGAATATATCGTTACTTGGGCGGGAGTGGTGGTTATGGTTCTTGTCGTGGTAGTGGTAGGAACTGTGACGGTGGAAGGAGATGCAGTGGTCAAAAAGACGTTGGTGATTGTTGTTGTGATGGTAGTAGAAGGGGTTGACGTGACTGTGAATGTGGCGGTGGGAGTAGTTGTGATGACCACTGGTGGTGCTGCAATGATGGAAAACGATCTCATCCAGGCAAATGTCAGGCCTTCGATGACGATTGTCCAGTCTCCAGAGAACATGTTGTTCTTCGTCACTTCGTTCCCGGGGACGTTGCTATTTGCTGTCAGGAAGCAGACTTGCCCATGGAGAACAATGAATTACCATGTGGATACCATATCTTCTCCATCTGGCTGGACGGCGATGTCGGAGCAGAAGTACTCGTCGCTATTTGGATCGACCAGAATTGGCGTAACGACATCTTGGACGTCGCTTGGCTGGCAGCCTTGTCATTGTCAGAATCAAGTCGGCTCTTTTACGGTACTCCTTAGTTACCAAAGAATTCTGTTCCGAACGAGAAATATGCTGTAGAAGTCGTGTTGACGCAGTAGGGTCCTCCTTGGTTGACGAAATCATATCCATACGACAAGCAGTCAGCAGCAGCCCGACCTGCCAAAGCCAAAAGGGCGGAAACAAAGCACGGGTTGAAAAGCATATCGACGACAAAAAACGCAGACGCAAAATGAAAGTATTCTTGCGAAAAGGGGCAGCACTTGGCCTATATGAGCACAGAGAGGAGCTGGATCGGCTCATCGTTGCCGGCGGAGACCAAGGATCACTCCCCTTTGCAGAAGACATTGAAAACTGAGACAGAATTGTCTTCCCCTCCCCAACGAACGGAGACCTGGAGAACCCTGCAGACATCGATGAAGTCTGGCTTTGGCAAAAATCCAGCTGAGACATGGACAATCAGTCACATCCAGGACACGAAATCCAACTCAAAATTAGAAGTCGACGGAATGGATCGCCGCAAGCTCTGATTTCAGAAAGTTCGGCTTCATTCACAATGTGGTTGTCTCGGAATCTGGAGGTCCCGAGGTAGCCGGATAGCATGAGAAGAGCTGCCATAGAGACATTGTAAAGGATCCGGGTTTCTGGTTCTGCTGTGGTCCGCAAGACCGTGTCGTGTAACCCAAGACTCTTGTAGGGCTTCCAATAAAAGAAACATGGAGAAGCGCTCTCGCCAAGACAGAATCACGCAATACAATGTTTGGGCTGACTGGGAATGGGACCAAGACCAGGATTGTATAAATTCGGTGAGTGCGCTGCAAGGAGCATCAGACAATTGGAATTGTGGGTTCAATGTCAAAGTTGACCGGATGAAGCGAGGGGGAAGAAAATGATGTTGTCCTCGATGAGTTCCAGGCTCCGCGGTCAAAAAGGGGGAGTAGTCCTGATTGGTTGGAAATGGCACTAGACCGTTTCTGGTATACGGAGAAGTTATACAACTTCTGTCGCCTCGTGGTCTCCAACCGTCGACTGTTAACTGTATTCCCCATCCTCAGCATTTGAATCCGAACCGTTGTATTGTTGACTCGATCGACCGAGTGAATAGATTTCTCATGGCCTGATTGAAAACAACAGGCACAGCTCGTATATCGCCGAAATTAGATACCAAGAACTGTCTCAGTTGTTTTCTTGTAGCCAACAACGCGTTTCCGGCCGAATCTGGTCCTGCTATTCGAGGCGAGACCGAGACTACCGCGCCGGTGGCTCACGGAATTGTCAAATTCTTTGCTTGTGCGACATCAAGCCCCTAAACGCTGCTAGGGATCCAAGACACCCGGGCGAAATCTCGAGTGTACCACGTTCTCAACCACGATCAGGCCGCTGTCCACTATGCCGATCAAATGAACCTTTTGCCATCGCAAGGGAAGAGGTAACTGTTTGCATATCAATATCTTATCCCTCTTTATATTGACATCTCTTGTATGCCAGCTGTTTCTGTTTCCTGCGTTCTTGCCCCGTCCCTGTTTCCTTCCGCCCCTACCTTAGTCGCTCGCTATGTTGCTCTTCTTGTCCCTCGTTCCACTCATTTTCCACCAGGCCTTTGCCGCCTATATTCCCACTGCCGAACTAATTCAGATTGACAGTGGCCTTCTGCCAAGGCAAGCGTCCTCCACCGCTGCTGTTTCGGCAACTACAACCAATACGCCAGATGCTCAGTGCACCAACGGGCCTTTTACGCGCCAATGCTGGGGCAACGGCTTCAGCATCGCGACAAACTATGACAGCACCTGGCCCAACACTGGCAAGGTTGTTGAGTACTACCTTGAGGTACAAAACACCACTATGGCTCCAGATGGATTCTCCAGGCCGGTCTACGCCATCAACGGCAAGTTTCCAGGACCCACGATCGTCGCCAACTGGGGCGATACGCTGAAGATCACGGTGAAGAACAGCCTTACCACAAACGGGACCAGCATGCACTGGCACGGTCTACGTCAGTGGAAGACGAACCATATGGATGGCACCAACGGTGTGACAGAATGTCCACTTGCGCCGGGCCAGTCGCGCACGTATACCTTTCTGTGCACCCAGTTTGGTACGACGTGGTACCACAGCCACTTCTCGGACCAATACACGGACGGCGTCGTGGGCACAATGATCATCAATGGGCCTGCAACGTCCAACTACGATATAGATCTGGGTGCCTACCCCATCACCGATTGGTACTACCGCAGTGCATTCGAGCTGGGGCCACTGATCCAGAATGGCGGGTTCCCGCGCGGACCGCCGCCGGGCAACAATATCCTCATCAACGGCACCAACATGAACGTCAATGGCACCGCAGGTCGATACAGCCGGACGACGTTGACCAAGGGCAAGAAGCACCGCCTTCGCCTGATCAACACTTCAACCAACGACAACTTCAAGGTCGGCCTCGACGGCCACAACATGACCGTCATGACTGCAGACTTTGTGCCCGTCAAGCCGTTCACCACGCAGTCTCTCTTCATCGGCATCGGCGAACGCTACGACGTGGTCATCGACGCAAACCAACCGATCGGGAACTACTGGTTCCACGTCGTACCCCAGGCCGGCTGCAGCAGCAACCTCAACACCAATGCCCTGGCCATCTTCTCCTACGCCGGCGCCAATTCTACCTCACTGCCCTCCAACGCAGCCCGCTCCAACGCCCCCCCGGGAGCGGACTGCAACGACCCCAACGGCCAACTGATCCCGTACGTCAAACTCGACGTGCCGAGCAACTACACGATCCCGCAGTCGTCGCGCCTGGACGTCGGCTTCGCCATCGTGCAGAACCAGGCCCAGCAGACGCTGTTCCAGTGGAACCTGAACTTCACGGCCATCCAGGTGCCGTGGAACGACCCGACCTTGCAGTACGCGCTCTCGGACAACACCAGCTACCCGGCCAGCATGAACTTGATCCCCCTGCCCAACGCCAACGCCTGGTCATACTGGGTCATCCAAGCCGTGCCCACGATCGCGCCGCCCATCCCGCACCCGATCCACCTGCACGGCCACGACTTCTACGTTCTGGGCGCCGGGCAGGGTATCTTCAACAACTCGCAGACCCTCAACTACAAGAACCCGCCCCGCAGGGACGTCGCCATGCTCCCCGCCTCGGGCTACCTGGTCATCGCTTTCATAACGGACAACCCTGGCGCGTGGTTGATGCATTGCCACATCGCATGGCATGTAGGACTGGGCCTGGGTGCCCAGTTCCTAGAGGAGCCCGATCAGATCAAGACGTTGGGCATCGGACAGGACTGGTTCAAGCAGTGCAGCGATTGGAACACGTACAGCCAGACCGCCGTGTTTCAACAGGAGGATTCCGGGTTGTAGGAAACTGAGACCGCGCAAGGGCGGATAGAACTGTGGTTTACGACAGTTACCAACACATGATTGAGTATTTTTTCGGTGGTTTTCCTAGTTCTTTAGGTAGTAGAGAATTGATGTGTCAGAATAGATCGGGGGAGCATTCAAACTGGTTTTGGCGCTGAATTCATTCTTGGTCTCGGTTCTCGCACCCTGTAGTATTGCCACTCCTGCTGTTTCCGACGGTTTAAGCGAATTGGTGTCCCTTCATAGATCCCCCTTTCATGGATCCCAGTTCCCAAGCGATCATCTGGCCGTCAGGCCACAAGGGGGGTAACGGAACGACTGATCTAGTAGCATAGAGTTGTTGAACAATTGCTGATGTTTTGATCTAAACCACTATACATAAATTCTCGGAGGGGGAAACAAAAGCATTGATTCTGAGGAAAAGTTTGCCGCTCCCAACCAAGGGCCCTCTCTCTTCCCGCAATCTCCATGTAGCGTGACATCTACAGCACCGACAAATTGGGGAACCTCTCCTGTAAAGCCGGAAAGTTAGCAGTCTAGTTGCAGGGCAAAATATTGTCGTTCTGCGCGCGGAGAAGTAGAGATTCAGTATTCGTACCTGGTATCCCGGTGGCATCCATCGTCCTTTCTTGACCAGCCTAGCCGTGTACTCGTCAATCTCCGGCGCCGCGGCAGCAACTTCGTCAACGGTAGTCTCATCCCACGGTCTTGCGCCCTCAATATCGTTCAAAGCCTTCTCCAAGCTCCTTAGCTCGACCTCCACTTTACCCTTGGTCTCCTCTGCATTCTTGATTGCCACCTGTTCGAAGCTCTCGATGGCCTTGATCTGCTTACCAACGTCGTAGGTTTTCGGCTGGAAGGTTTTGAAGTACTGCTCGATCTCGTCGATTACAGCCGTGTTTTTCAGGATGGAGCGGTAGTGTCCGAAGTCGACGGTGGAGGGCTGGTCTTGCAGCACCTGCACCCGGCGGCGGGCGTCGTCGTTTCGCTTCTTGAAGTTCGCTAGGGCGGTAGCTGTGCTGCCGCGGAGACCGAGTTGGGTGCCGACTTTGCTCCAGTCGAGCTTCATTGCTGCGCGGGACTGTAGTGAGAAGCGAAAAGGTGCTGTTAGTCAAATGGTTTTCGGGCACCCTGATTTGTCACGGAAAAGCCGGTGAGCGACTGATGGGAGCTGGGAAACATACTTGGGCAGCCATTTTGAGGGGTTTGAGGGTCAAGATGCTGGACAAGAGAGAGTGAGTCGTCGAACTTGATTTTGAGAAGGTGCAAAGTTGAAGGTCCCTGAGCTTCGATGAAACCCAATGCCAGAGCTGATCACGTGATCACCTTACCGCTCGAAGTGCTCAACCACCAACTGGGCTTCCTGACGTCGCTCTGATACCTTACATCTACGGGAGACCTTTTGGGGCCTTACGAATGCGTAGAGATAGACAACAGAAGAGTTTGCCGATGTCAGTTTCATTCTTTTCAAATGCATCTGAAGACATAGCCCTGTATGCATCGAAATACTGCCTGGATTGCTGAGGACCACCGAACAAATCCCTTGGAAGACCGACTACCCCTGTAGAACGATGCAGATCCAGAAACTTTTGGCTTGCCCTTTCCTGATCATACACTCAGCGCCATGATAGAGTTGACTATGTCGTTGTTGTTCTCCTTCAGAGCTTTAACAGCTTTCTTCCTCGAGACGGATGCTTGGGTCATGACAAGTTCGATATCTTTGGCCTCGAGACCGGTGTCGTCAACCTCCTCCTCATCATCTTCTTCATCCTCTGCCTTCTTGTCCTCAACCGCCTTGCCCTTGCCGTTCTCTGGTCCGTGGTCGTGGCCGGCGTGATCTGCGTTGGCTGCCTCGGCGGCTGCGAGTTGCTGAGCAGCAGCGGCTTGGGATTGTGAGTTAAGATCTTCAATCTTAGCCTCGCCGAAAATACTAGCAGTCTTGTTAAATGAACATTTCGCCGCTGATATCAATTTCAACTTACATCCAGGTGTTGCTGGTTGGCGATCGGTAGACATCAGGGTTGGAGATCACGAAGAGGATCTATGGGCGATAGTCAGCGATCTGCTACAGCTGCCACGGTATCCACGCGACCACAGGGGATATTCTGTGATCTTATGTTGCCATGGTGTGGGAGAGAACTTACTCCTTTTGGTCTCCTCAATGTAACTCGTGTAATTCCCGGAACATGCTTCAAGCCCAGCTTGCCAATTGCCTTTCTCGCCTTTTTCTCATTTCGGCTGTGGACTGCGACCGCAGAACCAGCAGGAATATTGGCTTCTCCTTCAGCAGCGGCCTCGGGTTCAGAGTCAGACGAGCTGGAGGCGTCTTCTGCTGCTGCCTTCTTGTCGGGTTCGTCGTCAGGGAGCTCTTCTATTCTTGGGTTCGACATCTTGATTGGTTGGGAAGGAGAGGACTGGCTGAAAAGTGCTGCGCAGTTTCAAATGTTAGCAAGGCTCTGCTTGGGTCTTGTGGGGTAGGATTGATGCTCTTTGCGATAGATACCTTCTGTGTCTTCGAGCGCCAATCAATTCAATCGACAAGTGGTGGGAGCTAGGGATCTTACAGTTGAGCCTCTCTGAGCGGTTGATGAACAATGAGATTTTGTGATGTGGACGTTTGACTGTTCATTGAATTGTGGAATTGACGAGCCTCGGGTAAATTGCCAATATGAGTGCGGCTTGGCATTGTGAGTCTCTTCATATGGTCACGAGTCCTCCGCTCTCCTGGCAATCATGGCCAAGCGTAGGCTGACCTCTCTTAATAATACCCACCTAGTTAGGTACTGTACACCATAAGTGTGACGGAGCCTGGTTGCTAGGCGCCGCACGGACCGATAAGTCTCTGACGGTCTTGTTCAACTAGGATCATCTCTCCATCACCAGTGCGAGCTTCAGCTCAGAGAGCACAGCCACGGCCGGGAAGATGCTCTAAACTGTGAGTGATCATCTGGAGGCAAGACGTGATACATTCAAAGATCCCGCGATTCAATGCTGCAATCACCCCTTCTGTTTTTCCTAGATGCAGAGCTATTTGATTGAGGGTTTGCCTCTATTCTTAATGAGATGATGTGCAAATTCTGTGGTGTGTTCGGACACTTTGGGAGAGAAATGCAGCAGTCACACAACGGAGGACGTCGGCCCAAGAGAAACGTGGAACAGCATCGTTCTCGAAACTCTTACTGCCCCTGTTGCCTCTGGCCTCTCTGAGCTAGCGAGAGATGTGCACATTCACACTTCTGCCATGTCAGATGGCGTTTCTTTGTTTTCGCTGGTGCGCAGGTTGTTGAGAAAGGCTGTGGTGGGAGACATTGCTCATGCGGGACAGATTGGATCTGTTTGACATTACTATGGTATACGTGCCCCGCACCGTTGAAGAGACGGCCGTCGTCTCTTGTGTACTTAGGATGGAGTATATTACACACGGAGTGTTTGATATGTCAGAGAAGTATACGATCGCCTAGAAGCCTCCTTCTTACGTCTATAACAAGTTCCGACTTCGGATGTTGAAGCTTATGTATGGGTTTGTCGAAGTAACACGAGGATTGTCAGGCTCAAACAACGTTACGAGTGCAAGGGAGGATAGTGTCAAAGATGCCAAAACATAGGCGAATAGAGACCGAAATGGGTCGGAGGTGAAATCGAACAATGGCGTCAAGAAGAATAGTCATAGCTCGAGATGAAAAGGAGCGCAACGGATGAGTGCGTGTAGAAAGACCTCGCAACCTGGGCTTGTCGGACACATCCTACTTATTGCTCCGACAGAAATGGAACCACCGAAGGCGGAAAGCCCGACAACACCTCACGCAACCAGCCCGTATAGTCTGAACGTTTGATCGCATTTCATGAATTTATGGAATCATGCTTCTGCAGAAATTCCCGCGCGGGCGGAGAGAAGAGAGCCACAGCCGCGGATTGTGTTGGTCAGTCGAACCGACAGTCGTGCCTACCCTCGGACATGCTGCAGCCCGCATATCTTTGTTCATCTTGAAATTTGTGGAGTTGGATTGTGACGCCGTATCCGTGCCGAATTTATGCCTTTGCTGCTGCCCGAACCTTCGCCTGTGCCTTCAGAACTTCAAATCGTGCCTAGAATCCTGTCCATTAGTGTTGACTTCCCACAAGACGCCAGAGAATCTTGGAGCAAGAGACTCCGATTTGGGGCGGCGTATAGATCGCTAAAGTGTGGCTCACCTGCTTCTTCAGTCTCATCACCTTGAATCGCTCAAAGTCGGTCAGGGTTCTCCTCCTATCCTGTTGTTCTCTCTTCTTCGCCCAGGATGACTCTGCCCACTTCTTGTCGACCTCAAAGCTCTCCCACTTCTTCTTCACTGCGCCAGTGCCTGCGGCTTTTGGTAGGCCGGGGATGACCCAAGGTGTGAGGGAGACGGTGCTGGTAGCGATAGCCTGTCGGGGGACAACTGCATCTTCTTTCGTGGAGGGGCCGTCTACCAGGATCTGGAAGTTTTCGTGAGTAAATGTTTTTCCCCTTTGCTTCTCAAGAGTCAGAACATACTCTGCCCGGGTCTATTATCTCAACCACGGTAGCCAGCTTGCCCTCGTACGGTCCTGAGCGGAGAGTGACCACTCGGCCAACCTCGACCAACTTCCACCCGGCTGGCTTGATATCGACGTTGGACATCTTGCCGGTAAGAGAGGACTATGCGCAATTATTAGCTGTATGTTTGGGAGCAGGAGATGTTTGGCAAGCATACGAAAAGTTATGGGGAATAATGTTGTCGCCTCTACTATCAATTCGGAGACCTTCGCAACATGCAAGGGAAATTCGAGATAGTGCGTCCACGCCAAGACACATTTTCCGCCAAGACCAAAGCTCGGCACTAAGCCCTCTCGAGCCATTTTTCGCGTCGCGAAAGACCACTCGAATTTTCTTCCAGTCTTTTGTTTTTGACGTTCTTTTTCCTCACTGCTGTGTGCTGCTAAGGCATGCTTCCCATCTCTAGTTGCCGTGTCTTGTGTGCAATGTCCACCAGCTCCTGAGTTCACGCTTCTCTGAGGCTGATGCTGAGGCCCACAGCTTAGTTTTCTTGTGAGTGTTTCTACGTTTACTCTCAACCGTCTCTCTCATGATGTTATAATTTGCGATTGAATTTGGCACTGGAGGCTCTCGCCGGAGCCTCTTAACAGTGCCAAAGAGATGATATTCAATTCTTACATATGCTGAATTTAGAAAACTGCAGCTTCTTTTCGCTGAGGACTATGAAATTTATGAATCATAAACTGACAGTGCCGATAGTTGTTGCTTGACCTGCTGCGACCACATTCCTTGCCGCCCGTTTACTCGAAATCCGTCAGCTAGGGATTCGGCATGATTTCGTTTCTTTGACTCCCTCGATGTCTTAGAATGTGACAGACAGCCCGCTTTGAAAGGTATGTACGTCTTCTTTCAGGTGGACTCCTTCCGATGATTACACCCTTTGCACTAGATAGTAAATGATCAATATTGACATGATCGTACCCTTTTCACCAAGATCTCTGAGGAAATTTGATAGCCATTGATGTTCCAACCAGCCGTGCGAGTTTATTGCTGACATGAACCAGGGCAAAAAGGTGAATCTAACGTGGTTCGATGCCAACGTCCTCTTTAGGTGGCCACCCTGACGAACCCCTTTGATCCCATGTATGGTTGCTGGATTCTGGCCCGCGTCTGTTTTGCAATCTTCCGTTACATCCTGCACGTTGCCGACAGCGTGATGTACGTTGCCAGAGTGAGATGATTCGGTAGGCACCAATCAATCGATTCTGCTCATAACTCATCGAAATGCGCCCGTTTGTCCGACCACCTTTTCCACGACATACTACCTTCCCCTAGCAGTTGACTGCCTGGAGTGCCTCTTTGAAGGATGTGCGTTGGACTCCCGTGGTCGTGTGCTGGGCCCTGTTTTCAGTAATTTCCCTCTTTCCAGAAGATGCTTTACATATCACTAAGACTTGTACACAAAAGGACTGCAGGTGTCCAATGTAACTTGGCGTTACTTTTCGCTGCGTGAGCTGAAGCCAGCCATCCAAATACAAGTGTCACCGAGATTGCTCTGTATTTATATCTCGTCGCCACTCTGGATGATGTGTTCTCTCGTAGAATGGTTTTCAGCTATCCGAGTCACACAATCGCATCAAGAACCGGTGTAAAACTCCCTATGTGCAACCATGGCAAAGCGAGGAATTCTTCCCTGCAGAGTGATGATCTGTTGCTTTGAGAAACACCAGTGCATCTGTCAAATGTCTTTTCCACGAAGCTCCTTCGGAAGTACTGCGCGCTTGAGGAGGTTCTAGCTCTCTGCCCAAACTACAAGTATTCTGCGTGGAGTGTTTACCCAACCAAGGGGTTCACAGCGTCACTTATTTCTGCAATTGAGTGGCTCAGCTTCGGATGCGGCGGGGACTGGAGTGACAACATCCGCGATCAGCTGGATGGCGTGTGCTGGGTTGCGTCTTGTGTTTTGTAGCTGACCAGGTAGAGAATTAAGGGACGTTCGACCGGGTTCATCAGCTAGGAGGACATGAAGCACGACACCAGTCGATCGCTTGATCTGGACAAGGTTGTGCAGACGAACCGGCAGGGGAATCAGCATGGAACGCTGTTTGGAAGGTGACTGGGGTTCGTCAACTCCACCTGGTGGCTGTCTTTGTTTCTCGCGGCCAAGGGCCAAGGCCCCAGGCGACCCGATGCTGCGTCCTGCGAGGCTCGCAGAGGCATGTAACTCGACTTCCTTCTCCTCCACCTCCTCCTCATCTTCCGCAAGGAGGGTGCCAGGCCTCGTTCAGGCCAGATCGGAGGCGACGAGGAACTGGTGTTCTCCCATGTGCGAAACTGCGCTCCGGATGTGCGCAGGGACAAACAATCTGCTGGGAGGGGTGCGGCAACACATCTGAAGGCAAGTGCAGTGCCCATGAAACGGTACATAAAACCCATCGCGTGCCGCACCCAAAGCAACCATGGTCCATGATCGAGAGGCACAAGGCAAGCTTCGTGAGCTGGAGGTGACGATCAAGTGTCAACTAACGGGAGGGGACAAAAAAAAGAGAGGAAATCATCTCACGTATCTGACATTCTCACTTCTGCTTCACTTCTGTCTTTGTTGTGCGGTTGTGTTCATCTTGTACTTCCCCGTGCCTTCCTCTCAATACCTTCCCTCCTGCCCCTTCCGTCTCCTTATTTCCTTGTCACCTTGTGCCGCGCACATTCGCCATATCACCTCCGCTTCATTAATTCACCTGCTGCTCTGAGAGCGCGCACCGTCAGCTCTGAACGACGCACACTGCCGACCCACGTCGACACGTGCTCGTCTTACTTCACTCATCTGTCCAGCATCTCCATCCTCTCCTTCCAATCTCTCACTGCACCGTCATATCGACATCAAGACATCGGCTTATTCCAAATCTCCCAACTGAACACGCTACCCGCTGGTACGGATGGCTTCAGCGACTTCGCCATGTACAGGCTCCGTGCCTCGCGCTGTTAATAGCCCTGATCAAGGAACTCTAAATGTGTCGACCAAAGTTCAAAGCTCCTACGCGGATGGCTACGACATGGCGCTGAGATTCAACACTGACGGACTCGGGATTACTTACATCGGCCTCGTCATAGCATGGACATGCCTCTTGCTCCCTGCCGTCATCTTTCTCATTCGCAACCGACACCTCCCGTACCTGCGCATTCGGAACATTCCTCTGGCAGTCAGCGCCGTTGCAACTCTCCATGTGTACTGGGTTTTGTGTATGATCGCATATGTCCTCAATGGATTCTTCCCCTGTGCCACTGAATATTGGATCATGAGCATCTACTTGCCTTTGGGGATTGCCCTTTTCCAAGCGACCAATTCGCAATTACTCTCTGTTGCAACGGCGCAGAAAAGATATGCGCAAGGAGATGTCCTGGTCGAATCCAAGTCGACCACAAACCAGAAGACTCCTCTATGGCGCAAGTGGTGGCAGAGACTCAAGACATACAATGCCACAAAGAACACCATGGCATGGATTGGAATTGGCATGACTGTCCAAGTGAGTGACCGCCCCTGAACCAAGCGCCCTGCGACTGAACTCGTCAGGTTGTCTTCACCCTCATCATCTTTCTTGTCTCCCCGAAGCTTCGCACCGGGTCTGGTGGCCCGGATGGAGCGAATATTAGAGCACGCTGCCGACGTGGATGGGAATGGTAAGCCTGATGCTCAAACATGGTAGCTTCAAAATCTAATACAGTCCAGGTGGCCGTCTATTGCGTGGCAAATCTTCTGGTCTTGGATGTATGCCCCAATACTGCTGTGGAGGGTTCGGAATATCCATGACGTTCACGGATGGCGGGCACAAACCATTGCCTGCATTGTTGCTGGGTGAGTGTTGGCTGTGACCTTCACCACGCTCCTACACTAACAATATCAGTTTACCCGCATCACCAATGTGGCTAGTTGCACTCTATGCGCCACCCTTGCAAACGACCACGGACAGGTACTTTGTCCCTCCTCTATGGTGAGATCAGCTCTTATTGTCCTATTGGCGTGGATTGTCACTCACGCATTTCAGGTTTTCTCCCTCTATTGTCATTATGCAAGCCTCAGTTGTCTTTGTTCCCTTCTTGCAGATATTCAAGAACAGAAAACTTGAGACTGAAACACGCGAAATCATTGCCGAGTGGGAGGAAAAGCAGAAATTCGACGGTTCATCTGATGCAGGATCCAGGACAGCCGCGATTCGATCACGGACTTCTACGCGCCGGTCTGTCAAGAGTACCACAAGCGCCCGCCAAGGAGAGATGTACACCATGAGCGCCCTCGAGACGACTTTGAAGTTGAATCCTACTCCTCTTCTTATGTTCTCGGCGTTGAAGGACTTTTCGGGAGAGAACATCAGCTTTCTGATTCACGTGCGAGATTGGAAGGCCAACTGGCTCACTGCAACTCCCAGGTCCGGGACGCTACGCAAGCAAGGACCTACCAGAACCCAACACCCAGACGTGGTTCGACGACAGTTTCAACAAGCTGTTGGAATTTATGCTTCGTTTGTGAGCTTGAAATATTCGGAGTTTCCGATAAACATCTCTTCAGCTCATCTCAGAGACCTCGAGGCCATCTTTGAGCAATATGCCGCCCTAGTCTGCGCAGAGCCAGCATCCAACGCCGCTACCCCCTTTGAAAACTATTGGTCATCCACGGTCTCAGAGGATCTGGAAAGCCAAATGGGCAAAGACCAACTGTCAGTCGTGTCGACAGCCATAGGAGAAGGTGGAAAGGACGAGCTGAAACGCGACGCCAGTGAATCACTTCAGTTGCAACAGTTGAAGATGACCAATTTCGGTGAGAGACTGCCCGCTAACATTGGCATTCCCGATACTTTCGATGAGACTGTTTTCGACAAGGCTGAGCTCAGCATCAAAGAATTGGTCCTGACCAACACATGGGCCAAGTTTGTCAAGGCCGGATTCGCCCAGAATAGTTTCACGTCGAGCTTCGCTGCTCGCCTCGAGGCCGCAGTTGACGCTTGTCGACTTCGATTTCCAAACCGACTTCCTAATCTTGCTGGCAAGGAAAGGAAGTGAGGCCATAATATTAGGGTGGCATTTTTGGACTCATAGCGCAGAGACTTTATGAAGGGCAATGGTGGGAAGAAGAATTGTGCAATGGAAAATTGACACGAAATGTTACGGATTTGTTTGCGTATGCTATGGGGGTCTAGGATTGCTCCGACATCGCTCTCGCTGGAAATTGAGGATATCATGGAATATCCCAAAGAGCTGCATTGTCGTCCTGTTTGAGGACCAGATTTCGGGTGTATTGACAGCCCAGGGAGACGATGGCCGATACATTTGATAGCTGCGAATACAACACTAGATAACCGCGCCTCAGCTTCTGCAACGTGCATACGACTAGTAGCCTGGGTATTGCAGGACTTCGAAGCAGATTGTTATTGTGAATGCCTCCTACAACCAGCATCGCACGACTCGGCTCCTTCCTTCGGCTGCGGCTCATCGGCATATCGGACTCTCAGGTCTTCGTCTACTTTTCCACTCTGATCCCTATTGACGTTGGTTCGGTCCTACGCGTCTCGTTGTATATTCTCGCCGTCTCCATCTCCAACTTTGCGCCCGATGAACCACCAACACGGGCTGAAAATCTCCTCCCTGCCCGCCTCGGTGGTACTGTCGACGCAGTAGGCCAGCGTGATCATGGCGTCGGTGACACCCTTGTCCCACAGGCCCACGCGCTCGCCGATCCAGACCATCCAGTAGCAACAGCGGCGCGGCCACTTTGACATTTTCCACACCGTCCAGTAGTCGGTCCAGGTTGTTGCTAGGTGCGTGGCGCTGACGAAAGGCCAGAACCATGGTCGGTAGGTCGTCGGTGGCACCGGGAGGGGGGATGGGAAAGGTGAGGAGGGGGGAGGGGCTGGGCGGAGAGATACCATGTCGTCGGAGCCGGAGCCACAAGAGAAGGACTTGAAGGGTACGAGGACGGGGCTTTGGTGAGGATCCAGATCTGGGGGTTCCTGTCTTTGCACCCTCCTCCCCTTCCTCTTTCCCACTCCGCCGGCGGCGGCTGAATCCTCCATGAGGCTCTTTGTGTAGTCGAAATGGGCCGCGAAATTCTCTTCGTGCAGGATCTCGAACCCGGCCCCTCTCATCGCCTCCCGGGCCTGATCGCTCGTGTTCATGGTCAGCGCGTTCCCTCTCTCGATCCGATTCCGGATGCCCACGTGCTCCTTGTCGTGCGGGTTGTATTTCGGTGTCATGACCCATTCGGAGAGGCCGAACACGGCCCCCGGCTTGAGTACACGCGATATCCCGCTGTACACGCGCAAAAGGGAGGGCGAGTACACGGTGGCTTCGATGGAGTAGGCGGCGTCGAAGGAGGAGGAGGCAAAGGGGAGGTTCTGCCGCGTAGGTTTAGCGTCTATGTACACGCAATATCTCCCCCCCTTAATCTCTGTCTCACTTTCTGTCTCTCTCTCCGAAGATTTTGTGGGATGTTGCACATCTTGGAGAGAGATAGAAACAGGATTCAAAAGGAGAGACAGGGGATGGAGAGGCAGGCAGAACGTTGAGACTTACGAGAAAATCTCCTCTGACGAACGTGCATTTATCTTGCAAACCCTCCATCCTCGTCAAGTAGATGGCGCGATCAATCTGGCCCTGGTTGATACTCACGCCCACGATCTCACAGCCCACGAATTTTGCGATTTCCCGCGCGGGACCGCCGATCCCACAGCCCACGTCGAGGACTTTCATGTGCGGCTTCAGGTCCATGAGGAAGGCGAGGCGGTGCTCGTAGAAGGACAGCGCCGTAGCGATTGTGCTCTCGCCCGGCGGGAATGAAGGTGGGAAGGGCGTGTAGTGGAAGTGGGTGGACCAGCCGTTCTCATACGCCGCCGAGGCGAAGTCGTAGTATCTGTGGGCAAACCGTTCTCTGGTTAGTGCTGGCCACTTGGTTTCTTCCTCTTTGGAGAGGCTTTTCGATATGGAATATGGTCCATCGGGAGCGTGCTCGATATGGGGCCAATGAATGACTTGATTACGGCGGAAGCCATGTACTCACGAATCAGCAATCTCTGCCGCCGCCGCTTGTCTTGTCTTCCGTTCCTCCTCGGTCACAGTGGTCTGGTCATCATTCTTGCCGTAGTGAGAGGTGTAGGCCTTCACGACGTTTGCAAAGTTCTCGATCCTCTTCGGGTTTCCGCGTCTGTCTCCCATTGTGCCAAGTAAATGCTGAGTGGTCTCGAGCTTCTTGATTTCTAGGTTTTTGGATTGTCAGTGTTCTTCTGCAAGCTTCAGGGCCACAGAAATATATCAGGATGCAGGGACAGGGTGGCAGCGTGAACAACCTGGGCCGTGGAATGGGAAACAATCATTCCCTTCGTTTCGGTGGTCAGGGTTCATGTTACTTGTGAAGGGGCTCCCTTGCGCGATGCGCAAACGGAGGATTGTGCCTATTGTCAGCTGGAGAACAATACTAAGCCGCGATACGGGGTGGACAAAGGCAAAGGCGCTTAATGTCACGTCTGCAGGAACTTGGAAGGAATGTTTTGTCCCTGACAAAGGCGAGCTGCTTCGCATCACAACAAACCACCATCGACTTTGGGGGTTTGATTTGTCCCCGCTGCACACGGACACCTACCTATCGATACCGCAAACTTCCTTCAAGTTTGCGTATGCAGAGAGGCAAAAGGGTCGCCTTGCTAGGGAGACAAGTGCCTCAACAGAAGCGGCACTCCATCATTGGAGCAGCAATGTAATGGTTGATGGAGTGCTTCAATCAAGTCATCAGCAACGACCGCCTGAATATAGCCGGTTGAGAAGACACTTTCCGGCATTCGCGTCAACATGATCTATCCAATTGGTACCCTATAGCAGCTGTCTTCGAGTATTGTCCAGCCATCTCGAGGACATTGACGCTGCAGACTCGAGGGGAACTTGACTGCCGTTAATCCGGTCACGTGGGAATGCCTGATGGTTCCTTTTCGTGCTGGCGGAACCGTCACTTTCGTCAACGAATTGATTGTGTTCTATTACCTGCAGGGAATTCTCCACCACTGCCACGGACAACAGGCTACACATTCATCTATCACATCGCAGGGAAAAGAAATTGAGCGAAAAACCCTGGCTACGGGAGATAGGATTGACGGGCCCATCCTCTTTCATGATACATTCATTTCGAACCCCTTGACTTCTCCTTGGAATCCACTTTCCCACTCCAAGCATCTCATTGCGCGGAAACATGCTTTTGGAGGTCGTTGTCGTACAATGCAGGACCATAATCTCATGTATGCAATTCGTAAAGTCATGGTCTTGTCTATTAATGCCTTCACGCCGCGTGCTCTACAACTTGTCTGTTTGTACGGTCAGCAGTTGTCCATTATTCCATACGGAGCAAAGGGAAACTCACCATAGTAGTTGTCATAGCTGGGAACTTGCTCCTTGAGACCCTTTCTCTTACGCATTTCCGTGACCACCTTGCCAACCATGGTAGTGGGATCAAGAGGCGAACCACCAGGGAGGATCTGCCAGTGATCGAAGACGGATTGAGGGAATGCTTGACCGCCAGTGGCGGCACGCAGATCGGCATTGAAACCGAAAGACTCCAAGACGGGAAGATATGCTTTGACAGTGAAAAGCGGGGTCCCCACACGTTGCTCTTCGGAGAAGACGTGACCTCTTCTACGAGTAAGGACACCGTAGATGCCGCCCATAGCTTGCTCCGGGACTTGAATCTCCACCAGGTAGACGGGCTCGAGGAGACCTGGCTCTGCCAGCAGGGTGGCGGCATACAGCACGCGTCGAGCAGTGGGGATGATCTGACCACCGCCACGGTGAATGGCATCAGCGTGAAGAGTCACATCCATGATGTTGAACCGGATTGATCGCATGGCCTCTTCAGCAATAGGACCTTCACGAGTCGCCCACTGGAAGCCGGACACGAAAGAGTCCTTGATTTCGTTGAGATACTGGACGGCCTTGGTCTGGTCAACCAACAAGTTGGCGCCAGTGGTGTCGGGCCCGAACGCCCAGATCTTACGAGCATCTGTAACATCCCAGCCATGCTCATCGGCAAGGATACGGGCACGAGCCTTGAAATCGTCGCGAGGGGTAATCTTGCCGTTCTCAATGTCCCGGGAGACTTCCTCCCCGAGAGGCTCGGCGATGACATAGAGACGATTGTGCTTGTTGGGGGACTTGGACAAGGCAGTCATGCTGGAGGTCCCGCCAACCGTCTCACGGTACGAGACGACTGGGTCGCTGATTTTGAGAGGAACACCAGCGTGGTCTTCTTCCAAATCCTTCAGGCAAATTTCCAAGTGAAGCTCACCTGCGCCGGCGACAATGTGCTCACCAGACTCCGAGATTTGGGTCAAGACGCAGGGATCGGACTTGGACAATCGCTTGAGACCTTCGACGAGTTTCGGCAAGTCGTTGGCATTCTTCACTTCGACTGACCGTCGTACGACCGGGGAAACGGAGAACTTCATGACCTTCAGGTTGTGGGCGGTTTCGGAGGTGGTGAGAGTACCAGACTTGAGCAAGAATTGATCAATGCCGACCAGGCCAATGATGTTGCCAGCCGGCATATCATCGATAGGCTCAACGGTACGACCCATCATCAGAACGGTACGTTGAATGGACTTGACGAACAGATCTTCCTTCTTGCCAGGGACGTAGTTGGGACCTTGGATACGGACCTTCATGCCGGATCGGACGGTACCGGCAAAGACACGGCCGAAGGCATAGAAACGACCTTTATCAGAAGTCGGCACCATCTTGGAAACGTAGAGCATGAGATCAGCATGAGGATCGCAGTCGCGGATGGCAATGCAGGCTGGGTCATCAGCCGGACCCTCATACAAGGTTTCGGCTCGGTATTTCTGGGCTGTGACAGGAGATGGCAGGTGAATAACCATCATTTCCAGGAGAGCATCAGCGGCCGGCAAGAATTTCCTCATGGCAGCCTTCAGGAGGCCCTTGCCGGGCAGTTCCTTTTCTTCGCTAGTGATCTTGATGTCAAGCTTGGCGCACAATTCGACGAGTTGGTCAACCTTTCCCTTCGTGAAGGCATCAAAGATTTTGAAGATTGGATCGAGAATGAACTGGTTGAAAGCACGCTCGAGATTCTTACCCTCATGCTCAGAGGTCTTGGTCCATTTCTTGGTCTTTGGGTTGAAGTAGTTGTCGCCCCAGAGACGTTCCATCATCTTGTTCTTGTCAACGCCGAATTTCTTGGCATATCTGACGGCGAATTGCCGCACGGTAAATGCCCAACCATGAAGACCGGAACCGAATGCAACAGTGCCTTTCTCGGGGAAGACTTGGACATCACCAAGGGCCTTATCGAGGTAGGTGGAAATGATGACGTTGACCGACTCGATCGTACGGAGGAAAGACTGGTAGAGATCTTCCTTCTGGAGTTGCAATTCAAGTAGAGCACGGTCGACCTTGTTGATGATGACGACGGGTTTGATACGCTCACCAAGAGCCTGTCGGAGCACAGTCTCGGTCTGGACGCAGACACCTTCGATCGTGTCGACGACCACCAAGGCGCCATCGGTGACTCGGAGAGCGGCCGTCACCTCAGACGAAAAGTCAACGTGACCGGGTGAGTCGATCAAGTTGATCAAGAATTCATTACCATCAACTTTCTGAGATTGAGTTAGTCGCCCGCACAGTTATCAACCCGAGCTGGTCATCTCTCACCTGGGGAATGTCCTTCAAGTCTTCTTCGTTCGGAAGATGGGCATAAAGGGAGATGGCGGTCGATTTGATGGTGATACCACGCTCCTGCTCATCCTTTCTTGTGTCCGTAAACCGACTGTAACATTGTTATTATCTTTCAATTGCATGCATGGCGATGGTCAAAACCTACGCTTCGCCTGCTTTTGCTGCAGAAATGATACCGGCTCGTTGGACGAGAGAATCGGTCAAGGTGGATTTTCCGTGATCGACTGCGGTTTCAGTCAGTTTGTGTACTCTCAAGACTGAGGGTTGACAACGCACCATGAGCAATGACAGACATGTTGCGAATGTTCGCCGGCTTGTCCATCAACTTTTTCGGGTATTAGTCCATATCGAGCATAGCAGCAGAGCCCAATGAAATCCAATTCCACAACGGGGATGCTGTCGAAAGAGGGGCAACTTACAGCGCGGATTTCTTCGATTGTGAACTGTCCATGTGTTAGCCATGGCGCCCATCCAGAGCCTGTAGAAGATAGACGTACGTTGACCATTTTGACGGTATTTGATGTTGAAATGCCTTAGAACGGCGGAACAAGCGCTCCCTGGAGCTGTTGAAAAGAATTGGTGCAGAATCGAGAGCTCGCTCGATCTGCCAAAATGCTGGCGAGAACCTGCGCTTGGGTAGATGAAGAAGGATGGAAATTGCAGCTGGTTGAGCCGCGCGGTGACGAGGAAAGACTGGAAGGGGAAGAGACGGAGAGGGTGAGGGAGGGGTTGGACTGAAATGAGAAAATCCTGGTGGTTAGAAATGCAAGAGTCGAGTGCGGCAAATTGCCAAGCAAGCTCTCACGTGGGGCTTGACTGAGTGAAGTGTGTGGTGCGACTGGGCGGTACCCCGCCAATGAGGCCGCAGTCGCCCTTGGTGCCGTGAGAGCTGTTAACTCCGGGCTCGTACTTGGTCCGGGCTGGCCACTGTTCTGAGAAACCCTACTTGGCCTATTACTCCGTAGCTACAGATACCCCAACAGGGCTGCTATGACTCTGCATATCCCGCCGTCCTCAAATAAGAAGCGACGTGCGAGCCGGTGACTCATCAAGGCTGTATGGTGCGTGACTGTTACATGATATATGCGGAAGCTGTGGCATGAACAAGACTCTTCGATGACGGTTCCATCTTCAGTGGCCTAAGGGCATTGAGTAATCCGATGGGCTTTACATGCTCATGCTCGTAATGTACCTACCAGTATGCTATATGGGTGGCGCAAAGACGACCTCAACCGTTGAGGAGACCAGAACTGACCGATGCCTGTGGCGACACAAACTATCCTCGCTTGAACGCTCTCATTGCTCACGTGTACCAGAACAGAAGGTTCTCCATGTAGAAACCAAAGAATCTGAACGAGCCTCTGGTGCCAGAGGTCGCACCGGGCTCTTCCTGCCTTACGAAATGATGTTACAAATGTCAACTCCGGCTCCACACATTGTCCTCGTCGATCATGCTGGCATATTGTCCTTCTCCGCGTTCTGCC